TTCTTAAGTTTGGTGTCTTGAACATATCCCAAATTTCTAGAAAGATTATTCAATGCTCTTTTTGTAATGCTTTGCAAATTTATGCATGTTTGGACATGTTGCTGCCTCAGCCTTGTTCTGATGTTCTATATTCTACTAGTCTTTACTCATGATAATTTCCATTGTTTTTTGTTTGTTTGTTTGACTGGGCCTTTCATGTTTAGCATTTCTGTTGGTTATTTTTAAAAATTTTCAATTCCATGCTGAATTTTTACTCATTTTATAAAAGTTTCTGTTCCAAATGGCTATTTCATCTACTTTTTACTTCTTTGTCTGGGTCCTAAATTTTCTTTCATTTGTCTACTCTTTAATGTCCTCTCTGTGTCATTGATCATTTTGAAAAGTAGGACTCTGAACTCTATCTGGTACTTCAGGTATCTCGTTATCTTAGGTTTCGAGTATTGGGGGACTGAATTTGTAGAGGTGTCATAGTGGCTTTCTCACATCTATGTGGAGTGTGTGTGTGTGTGTGTGTGTGTGTGTGTGTGTTGTACTTATGTTAGCATGGATATGTCCTCCAGTTTTAATTTTTTCCTTTGTCACCCTTTTGTTCCCTTATTTAATTTTATGTGAGTCTTCAGTGAGTTGTCTTCACTTGAGTTTATGTTCCTCAACACTATATGAAAGGGAAACTGAGTGAGAAATATAGACAATGATTGACAGAAGCCCTGGGATTAGCTTGCAGTAGAAGACACTAGTGTCCCCACACAGTCCAGAGAGAGAGAAACAGTGATTAAAAGTGAGGAAATATAGAATATAGGTTTGGGGGGATGTTTGTTTGTTCCATTTTGTTTTGTAGTTCATTAGTGTTTTTTAGAACTAAAGATATTAATAATTAAATAAAAAAGGGGAAAGAGCCAGTTATGGTGGCACACACTTTTAATCCCAACACTTGGGAGGGCAGAGACAGGTCTGTACCAGGATTTTTCTTTTGGGCCAGCAGCCAGCTCCCAAATCATTGGGACATATTCTTATAAATGCTCGGCCTAGCTTAGGCTCATTTATGGCTAGCTCTTTTAACTTAAATTAACATGTTTCTCTTTATCTATCTTCTGCCTCGGGGCTTTTTACCGTATTTCTTTCTTTCTGTGTATCTTACTTTCACTGCTTTTTGTATCTGGCTGGCTGGCAGCTCCTGGCTTCTGGCCTGGTCATCTCCCTAGTTCTCACCTCTCTTCTCTCATTCTTCTCTTCTTCTCTCCAGCCTATATTTCTCCTCCTAGCTATTCTCTCTGCCTGCCAGCCCCACCTATCCTTTCTCCTGCCTAGCTATTGGTTGTTCAGCTCTTTATTAGACCAGGCAATTGCCTTAGGCAGGCAAGGTGAAACAAATGCAACACATCTTTACATAAAGAAACATACATCATTAAACAAACACAGCACAAACAAATGTAACACACCTTTGCCCAGTTAAAATAATATTCCACAACAGTTCCCTGAATTTGAGGGCAGCCCAGTCTACAGAACAAGTTCCGGGAGAGCTAGGACTGACTACACAGAGAAACCCTGTCTTGAAAAGCCAAAAGAAAGAGAGGGTGGGGGGAAGTGAAGTATAAATAAGAGAGAGAATATATGGATGGGAACTATAAGAAACAATAAAGAAAATGTTATAAATTTACTTTAGAACAAGTAAGGATAGTCATGAAAGGTTGTTTGGATGAAATACAAGTTAAAACAAAACAACTAAACATTTGAAGTACAGAAAAGTGTTGAAGCTAGAGAGATGCCCCAGCAGTTAAAAGTACTGGCTGCTCTTACAGAAGACCAGAGTTCAATTCTTAGCACCCACATGGTGGCTCACAAGCATCCCATCCAGGGGATCCAACCTACTTCTGGCCTCCACAGATGTTGTATGATATTTTGTTTGTATTCTGAGAAATAAAGCTTGCATGGAGATCAGAGAGTGGAGCTAGCCACTAGTTAACCATAGAGGCCATGCAGTGGTGGCACACACCTTAATCCCAGCACTTGGGAGGAGGAAGCAGGAAGATCTGGAGTTCAAGCCCACCCCCACCCCCGCCCCGGGGCTACACAAGATTGATCCAGTCTAAAAGAGAAACAGAGCCAGGTGGTGGTGGTGCATGCCTTTGATCCCAGCACTAGGGAGGTGGAGACAGAAATATAAAGTGGGCGGAGATGGAATCGCCCATTCAATCTGAGGATTAGTAGAGGTAAGAAGTTACTGGCTGCTGCTCTGCTTCTCTGATCTTTCAGCTTTCATTCTCAATATCTTACTCCAGGATTTCATTATTAAGACTAAATAGATTCGTGCTTCACACAGGCACTGCATGCATGTGGTGCACAGTCATACATGCAGGCAATACAACCATGCACATAAAATAGTCTTTCTAAAAATGTCATTAGAAAATAACATCAGAAGGTACTATTGTTTTAGGGTAGGGACCCAAAAACCACACAGCGTGACCAAAGTCCAAATTGAGTGGGAGTCTGTATTAAGCTGGCCTGGGCCTGCCTGGAAACACTTCTCACAGAGCAGCCTCCAATGCATTTTACAAGGGATCTTTTAAAGGCAAAGAACACAGAAAAACTGCATCCTGGTTGGCAGTTGCAGGAGCAAGCAAGCAGTTTAATAGAAGCCAAAATCATGTAGTTAGCTGGGGCATTTTGACCCTGAGCTTCTAGAACTGGTTTCAGTGCTTTGCCACAGGAATTTTCACAGTGAGGATAGAAAGAAAAGTGGGAGAGGGGAAGTTAGTTTTAGGCTAAATCAAAGATGGCTCCAATTAAGACATGATGGAGGAACCTTTTCCCTGTCACACTATAACATCATCAGTGTTTCTTCCTGTGTGATTTTACCCACTGTCTTTTATAGTAGCTCTGTTAGTACGGAAGGGCTACTAGGCTACAGTAAGTCAAATGACTTAAATCATGTATATCCTGCCTGCTTAGAAGATATTCTGTGTAAGACTCTGCAGAAATCACCCCTGTCTGGCACTCATCCCTTGCCTGCCAGCTCCAGTCCCATCCTGCAATGCTAGGGATTATAGCTTTTCTGGGAATTTTATGTGGCTAGGCCTCTGAGGTGGTCAGGATGATTCTCTCCTTTATGTTTACTTTTGAGTGTATGCTTCCTGGGTAGTCACTTCCCCAGCAGGATCTCAGATTTTTTTATTACCATTGTCCCATGTTTCTTGCACAAGGAAGCTTGCATTTGCTCTCCAGCCTGTGTGAGCCTCAGTGCACTTCTTGGGTTCCCATGTTATTGCTTGCCTAGGTAGTGATGGGGTGGTGCCTACCATATCATGCTCAGCTTGTGGATATTCTCAGCTCATGTTCCCATGAAACACTTGTGCAACTGTCTTCACAGCTAGCACTACTCTAGGCTTCTCTCTGCTGTCTGATCTGCCTGTCATTTCTATAGTTTTGAAAGTTGTTTGCTCTGAATTTCTTATTTACTCAGGTAATATTTTATCCTTCTCATATCTCTGGTGAGAATTGAAGACTAGATAGTTAGAATTTGTTACCAAATTCAGAAAATAAACTCATATAAGAGATAAAAAGTTTATAAGGTTGAGAAACATAAAAGCTTAAGTTGTTTATCTGAGATGTTTTTAGGTCTAAAAAGATATTTTTGGATGGTAGTATAAGTTATGATAGAAAATGGTTTAGGTATAAACTTTGAACTCACTAAGATGGGATAGATAATAATTTGCTTTCTCCAAATTTGCCAAATACATGTGGACTAAACATTGTGAATGTAATTCTTACTTGATAATTGTTCTTTTTTTGAGACAAGGTTTCTCTGTGTAGTTTTGGTGCCTGTTCTGGATCTTGCTCTGTAAACCAGGCTGGTCTCAAACTCACAGAGATCCGCCTGGCTCTGCCTCCCAAGTGCTGGGACCACCACCGCCTGGCTTGATAATTGTTCTTATTGTATGTAGTTTTACTATGCTAGAGTTAAAATCTTTCCTTTTTTTTTTTTTAGACAAAAATGGGGAAATGTTGTGGGATATTGGTATACTTTTAAGATGTGTCTTTACCAAGGCATCTTCTGATTGATTTAATAAAGAGCTGAATGGCCAATAGCTAGGCAGGAAGAGGCATATGTGGGGCTTCCAGGAACAGAGAGGGCTCAGGGAAGAAAAAAGGAAAAGACATCAGGTGAAGCAGAACAAGCAGGATGTGCAGGAGAAGAGGTAATGAGCCACATGGCAGAATATAGATTAATATAAATAGGTTAATTTAAGTTATAAGAACTATTTAGAAACAAGCCAAAGCTATAGGTCAAGCTTTCATAATTAATAAGAAGTCCCGCCGGGCAGTGGTGGCGCACGCCTTTAATCCCAGCACTCGGGAGGCAGAGGCAGGCGGATCTCTGTGAGTTCGAGGCCAGCCTGGGCTACCAAGTGAGTTCCAGGAAAGGCGCAAAGCTACACAGAGAAACCCTGTCTCGAAAAACCAAAAAAAAAAAAAAAAAAGTCCCAAATAATTGTCATTTCAGAGCTGGAAGGACAGAGAAGATTCATTACAGGCTACATCTCTGCTGGCCACTTAACCCTTCCCTGATCACCATTTTCATGGCTTCCATGTTAAATCAACACAAGTAAATGGCCACTCCTGAGTACTTCTTTGCACAGAAGATTTTGTAGCTCTTGCCTCAGCTTATGATTTTCTCTGAGTAACTGCCTTTGTTTTCCCACTATTGTTTGTATGTTTCTAATATTCTTTGGCTCTTTAATTCATAAGAATCATGATTAGTTGGGACTCTTCTCCACAAGTCACAAAGAGGCAGTTTCTAATCTCCCCCTTATCCAGAAATACCATTCTCTTTCTATAGATATCAAGGCTAAAAGTTGAATAAGTTGTCCAAAGTTGTATTCTAAAATGATTTTGCTTTATTTGGTTTCATTATGGAGTTTGCTCAGTTATCAGAAATAGCTTGCATTTGGAACGTGGCTGTTCTTCATTTCAAATTGGATATGGTATTCCCTTTCCAACAGATGAACCCACAGATATGATTCCACGAAGCTGTCAACTCGCAACAGATGTCCCTCATGTCACACAGCTGCTAAACATGACAAAAGTCTGCCAAGCTGAACTAAAATGTGGAGGTCATCATCTAAGATCAGCAGAATCAGGTATGCACTGAGGTTCCTATAAGCATATGTGTACTATGCTAGTAAGATTTCTTCTTCCAAAGATGTCCCTAAGCTCACTCTTCCATGGTACTGCCAATATACAAGGCTAGGGCGTGTAAGCTCAGTTCACTGCCAACCCAGACAGACAACTGAAATGAAGAACTTGGCATGTGGACATTTAACCCATACAAAACTTTTTCTACTTCAGCACTGTGATGTACTGGGGGAAATGAGAAGGTAGGAAGAGACATGAAACAATGCTTTCTGTGGAGTGGTTATCCCTTTATGGAAAATGCTACTTTATTCAAGTACTACCATAAAAGACAAGTAATGCTTTCTCTGTGAAGGAGCTCTAGGGAGTGATGGGACTGCAGCCACCTGGAAGTTCACTGTCAGTTTAACAAAGGAAACTTCATTTCAGTTATGGACAGTGTCACCCTGCCTGAATATGTATCATTCGTTTTTGCATAGTCTCTAAAGATTTTTTTAAACTTGTAAGCTAAACTAAATACTCTAAGGCTTCCAGTATTCTACCTCTATACAGACCTCCTACCAGTTGACCACATCAATGAAACACCTTAATATCAAACCCTATTTAAGCTCAACTCCCTAGATGTTTGAACCCCTGAAACATTTTAATGTTTAAGCATTTAACAGCACAAAACATTTTTTTCCTGATGTCAGGACTCTCCCTATAGAGACTCTTGGTTAATTTGGCTAGTCTATTTTGTTTTGGTTTGTTTTTTTAACCTCCTCCAGTGATTGTTACGTGGAGCCAACATTGAAACCACTGTATCACTCAGTCTGAAAGGTCATATGGTTCAAGTAATACTCAAATACAGGGAGGTAATTCAAAGGAAGCTAAAGAATAGTCATAGTGACAAATCATCTGTAGAAGTAGATCCTGAAAGTACTAAAGTATTCTATGCATATTTATGTATTTATAATGTGTATTTATAATTAATTAAGAAGAGATGTATGGAAGTATGTTAGGGCAGAAGACTGAGTAAAGGCAAGGAGATAGCAAATTCTTGGACTATTTTTCATGGATTAATATAAGGAATGACTTGAGTGATGAAATGCTGTTAGAAATGCACCATGGGAGCATTTCTTGTCCCTCAATAAAGAGATGCTGAATTTAACACCAGGATTCCAGACTGACAGGAGCTGGGCCATTAGAAAGGAGTGGCACCGAGAGAAGCTGAGGGGAAGTGGCAGGATTTGTGGCTTCTCAGATAACAGGTGTGGCCAAGAAAGTGATCAGAGCTTTAAAGGACATCACATAGTAACAGGGAAAGGTTTTGTGATAAAAGTTGAAAGCATGAACTCTGTATCACATGTATTTTCTCTGTCAAACTTAATCAGCATTATATACCAGAAGTCACATATCCCTAAAGAACTGAATCTCTTTTGTCCTTTTTTTCAGTACAAAAGAAGTCTATATATAAGTAGGCACTATACTATTAACACTTTATTGCATCATTCCCAAACTCATAGAAAAGCAGAGAGGGGGAATGTATGATGCAAACCTCACCTGCTTCATGCTTACCCACTTTGAGTAGTACTTTTTGCTAACAATGAGGTTAACAGTGAAAATGTGTAGATACTATATCTAAACACAAAGAGAAATAGATTTTGTACAAGCCATGTTTGTTAAGGAGCCATCGAAAACCATAAAAGCATAAAAGTAAGCTCACTACCTTTCAGGTGACAGTTTAATCTTAATATTTGCTGCAGAATGCAGGAAAAGTATTTTCAATAATAAACACTGTATCTGAACTTAATGAAGTGTGATCATTTTCAATAACAAGAATGATTAAGGTGTGGAACAAATGATAATGACATGATTATAAATCATCTTTTTTTTAACCTCATGACCTTCCAGCTGAATATTTTATGAACTGTCTTTAAAATAAATACAAGTGAATGTACAATATCATTGTCAACTTATTTAAAGCTCTCATAGATGCTTAAATTGAATAAGATTTAATAAATACTAATTACATCAATGTTACAACTAAACAGAAACATTTTCATAGGCTGCATTCAAACCCAACTTGCAGAAGAGGATATTACTATTTCTTTTGCAAATTGTATAAGTGGAATTTTGATTCATAATAATAGTCAATTCAACTTGCATCATGTATACAGAAAATTACTAATTGCCAAAATCCATGAGCATATTTCTTTTTCTTTGTGACTACCAATTATATCCATTTTAATCCATTATGATTGTGCCTCTTAGGCCAATCTCATTGCACATGTACGACAGCCAGGATGACATGAGCATACATGGTAGATACTGTGTGGTTCTCTTTCTACAAATGTATTTTGGGAGCTGATTTTCATGTATGTGAACTTTAAAGCTTACTAGAAGAGAATGTATTAATTTTTGCTCTCTGTGCAAGCGTTTGATTTGAATGGTATTTCTAAGAATTATGCCCAAGGGCAGATTATTTTAAGTGTGGATAAGCCAGTAGATGTGTCTTTATTTGAACTATTTGTATTTTTCTCCTAGAAAGTGAACTCCCACAATAAAATTTGAATTACATGAGAAAATGACTGTGTGCTCATATAATTGGCTGTGTAGTGCTCATGTAAATTTTGATATTTTATCATAAATGTACATATTGAGAGATCCCAATGAGGCCTCTAGAGAAGTAGCCATTTCCTGTGGATTTTCACACCACTAAAAAAAAAGAAACCTTGGAGTTTTTAACTGTTTTAGACTGTTTTATTGAATGCCATATAGCTTAATCAAGAGTATTGAATGGAATTAATAAAATCACTGTTTCTAAGAAGCCAGTGTTTCCAAAAAGTTCCACATTCCCACTGCTTTCTTTGTCAATCCCAGTGCACATTAGTTAATAACTTTAGGACTGTGGAATCTGATCATCTCACTTTCAGTAATGGAACCCCAGTTTAACTGAACCAGAGAATATGGTCTGGCTATTGAAATGAAGCATAATGTCAGCATTAATGACAAGATACAGTGGCCCACTGAACACAAATCAAAAGTAGTAATTTACTTAAAAATTGAAAGATGGTTTTCCCTGTTGCCCACTTTTTTACAACAGCCATCTAACTGTGTTTTCAATTTCTTTATGAGTAAGAGAAAACTGACATTTCTACCTCCTACCAAAACTGTAGACTTGTGAATTAATCCATCTAGAAGACAAAAGAAGGAAGGAGGGAGCAAGCTGGCTAGGGAGGGAAGGAGGGAGGGAGGGAAAGAAGGAAGAGGATGAAATCAGCAACCTGTCTGTGGCACTGGTGAAATATGTATTAGATTTCTTGTTTATAGTCCATATTATGAAAGCAAGATTCAAACCAAGGATCACATTCTACTGTGAAACAGAAAAACCTAAGAATAAAATAAAATAGTGTATGCCCTCATAGGAGCCAAAGCACCTCCCATAATTAATGGGTCAGTTGAATAAATATTGTGAAAATGGCTATATTGCCAAAACCAATCTGAAGATTCAATGCAAACCCTATGAAAGGTCCAGTGACAGTCTTCAGATGAATAGAAAAAAGAAATGAATCCTAAATTTTATTATCCAAGCATAACAGACCCCAGATAGCCAAAGCAGTCTTGAGGAAAAAGACCAATGGTGGAGATACCAGTATGCCTGATTTCAGGTTATACTATGGAGCCATAATAACAAAAACAGCATGGTACTGGGACAAAAGTAAACATATAGATCAACAGATAGAATGAAGGACCAGAGACAGACCACATAGCTACAACCACCTGATTTTTTAGAAAGATGTCAAAAACATACAGTGTGGAAAAGGCAGCCTTTTCAACAAATGGTGTGGAAAAAGCTGGATATTCAGACCTAGAAGAATGACTCTAGATCCCTTTCTCGCCTACATCAATCAGTTCAAAATGATTGAAGATATTAATATATAATGGGAAACTCTGAAACTATTGGTGGGAATATACTTCAAGATATAGGCATATGCAAGTACTTTCTGGAAAAAAAAAAAAAGACTCCAGTGGCTCAAGGAATATGACCAAGAATTGACAACTGATATGAAATTAAAACAAAGGAAATATTTGATTGAATTAAGAAATAGCCTACAGAGTGGGAGAAAAATCTTTCCTGTGTTATAGGGAGCCCACCAGAAAAGACCACACAGACACAAGTCTGTAGGCTACTGAAAGTCTGTCTAGCCAGCTGTGACTACACTCAGGTATTCAGGACCCAGGCTTAGCCCTGAGCATTTAGAACAAGGGACTTTTAAAGACAAAGTCAAATCCTGTTGTCTTGTTTGGAGGCTACAGGGGGGAGGTTTTGCACAAGCAGGAAGTTTAACAGAATCTAAGATAAATTAGTTGAGGTATCTTGACCTTTGGTGCCTAGAATAGAGTTGGGTAATTGTCCTTGGGATTCTGCAAAAGGAGGTCAGATGTCTAGTTAAACTTAAAATAGCCTCAGTGAGCACACAAGATGGAGGAACCTCTGCACTGCCCTGCCCTGTCACAACTGCAGCTCTAACAGAGATTAACATCTAAAATGTATAAGAACTTGAAAACTAAACACAAGCTAGAGAGGCAGTTCTTTAATTTTGTTGGTTAAAGAGATCACATAATGTTTATTTCCATTGTCTGATGATTCAAAAATAAACTCATCTTTTAAATTTGAATTTGAATATCCTTTTTCCTTATCTTCAATAAAAATAAAACAGCACAACCATTCATTCCTTCATTTAAATTTTTTTGTCTGAAGATGAATTTAGAATGGGTATTGGGAGCTAGAAATGCCTAGAGACTTCAGAATGGTCATTGTGCAAACATGAGAACCAAAGTTTAGTTTCCAGTACCCCTGAACAAAGCCAGGCAACTGAGCACACCTGTTACCCAGGCTGAGGGATATGGAGACAGAAAGATCATGATCATGGATGCTGGCTGCCTTCCTGCCCAGGCTCAGAGAGTAACTCTGCCTTACAGGAAAAGCAAGGAATGGTAGAGGAAGACAGCTAGTGCCCTATTC